ATTTCCAGGGAAAGAAGGATGGGCGGACTGCATTTTTTTGGACTGTCGGAAAGCCTTTGACACAGTACCCCACAAAAGGTTGATGCATAAGCTGGAGAAACAGGCAGGAGTAACTGGTAGAGCGCTCCAGTGGATAAGGGAGTACCTAAGCAATAGGAAGCAGAGAGTTATAGTGAGGGGTGAGACCTCAGAATGGCGGGAAGTCACCAGTGGAGTCCCACAGGGCTCTGTGCTTGGACCTATCCTGTTTCTGATATATGTAAATGATCTCCCAGAGGGTATAGACTCATCCCTCTCAATGTTTGCTGACGACGCCAAAATTATGAGAAGGATTAAGACAGAGGAGGACAGCTTGAGGCTTCAAGAAGACCTGGATAAGCTGCAGGAATGGTCGAACAAATGGATGTTAGAGTTTAACCCAAGCAAATGTAATGTAATGAAGATAGGAGTAGGAAGCAGGAGACCAGATACAAGGTATCACTTGGGAGATGAAATACTTCAAGAGTCAGAGAGAGAGAAAGACCTGGGGGTTGATATCATGCCAGACCTGTCCCCTGAAGCTCATATCAAGAGGATAACATCAGCAGCATATGCCAGGTTGGCTAACATAAGAACGGCCTTTAGAAACTTGTGTAAGGAATCTTTCAGAACATTATATACCACATATGTCAGACCAATCCTGGAGTATGCGGCTCCAGCATGGAGTCCATATCTAGTCAAGCATAAGACTAAACTGGAAAAGGTTCAAAGGTTTGCCACCAGACTAGTATCCGAGCTGAGAGATATGAGCTACGAGGAGAGACTACGGGAATTGAACCTCACTTCGTTGGAAGACAGAAGAGTTTGGGGGGACATGATCACCACATTCAAGATTCTCAAGGGAATCAACAGGGTTGATAAAGATAGGCTATTTAACACAAGGGGCACACGCACTAGGGGACACAGGTGGAAACTGAGTGCCCAAATGAGCCACAGAGATATTAGAAAGAACTTTTTTAGTGTCAGAGTGGTTGACAAATGGAATGCATTAGGAAGCAATGTGGTGGAGGCTGACTCCATACACAGTTTCAAGTGTAGATATGATAGAGCCCAATAGGCTCAGGAACCTGTACACCTGTTGATTGACGGTTGAGAGGCGGGACCAAAGAGCCAGAGCTCAACCCCCGCAAGCACAACTAGGTGAGTACAACTAGGTGAGTTCACACACACACACACACACACACACCCACACACACATACACACATACACACACACACACACACACACACACACACACACACACACACACACACACACACACACACACACACACACACACACACACACACACACCCACACACACATACACACATACACACACACACTACCCAGCTGCTGAAAAGAAAAAGATCAGTGGTAGCTGTGGGTATTAAAAAGCAGGAAGGCTCCAACAGGACAGAGTGGAATGATAAAGACAACACAGCAGTGAATGAAATACTGAAGACACTGGAGATGGAAGGGGCTGAGCATAGAATGGAGAAGGTTTTCAGGTTAAGCTAATACAACAATCTTGAGGTATCTTTAGAAGATTTCGCGGCTTTTTTTTTTTTTTTTAGTGTCCCCGCGGCCCAGTCCTCGACCAAGCCTCCACCCCCAGGAAGCAGCCCGTGACAGCTGGCTAACACCCAGGTACCTATTTTACTGCTAGGTAACAGGGGCATAGGGTAACAGAAACTCTGATCATTGTTTCTCGCCGGCGCCCGGGATCGAACCCGGGACCACAGGATCACAATTCCAGTGTGCTGTCCGCTCGGCTGACAGACTCCCGCCACAAAGACCGAGATCGTGTGTTAAAGATAGTGTTTGCAAACGAGAACACAAAGGAGTTGATTCTAACAAGGAAAAGTCACCTTCAGCCTGTGGGAGATTTAAAAAAATTATACCTCCAGAGGGACATGACGAGGGATGAGAGAGCCATAACAGCAGAAGCAATAAAGAGGCGCAGGGCGAGAGGGGAAAACCAGGAACTCATAGCTCCCAACACATCATCCCCAAAAGGTGAGGGGGGGAACTCACAACCAGCTACCCAGTAACACCAGAGGGGAGGGCAACCACACCACCCTCCTCTGAATAGAAACCCCCCCTACCCCAAACCCTCCCTGCCCCCCTCAAATGTTTAGCTAACATTTGCTCAGATCAAATCTCCCTACCCCCACACCCCATTCCCAACCTACTACCCCTCCCATACTCCTGCCATGTTCCCACTTCCCCCTTTTCCCCCATGTCCTCATTCCCCCCCTGTTGCCAGCAGGAATGGATCTGGACTATTAATTATGAGAGACTTCAACCACGGAATACTAGACTGGGAGAACCGGGATCCGCATGGAGGACCAGAAACATGGAGAGCTAAGCTGCTGGACGTGGCAACAAGACACTTTCTAAGTCAGCACATCAAGGAACCAACAAGAATGAGAGGAGAAGGTGAACCAGCCATGCTCGATCTGATATTTACCCTAAATGAGTGGGATATAAGGGAAGTTATGATGGAAGCACCCTTGGGAATGAGTGACCACAGAATATTAAACTTTGAGTACCTGGCAGAGCTAGGAATTATCTCCTCCAAAAAAGAACTAGGAAACAAAAGGCTGGCTTACCGAAAGGGGAAATATGAGATCAGACGTTTCCTAAGGGAAATACCTTGGGACACAGACCTCAGAGCTAAGTCTGTACAAAATATGATGGACTATGTCACCCAAAGTTAGGTGTTACAACTTGTTTGAAAGTTGCAGCAACGTTGTAGTTTTTGTTGCATATTTGGCAGGTGACTGATATTTTGTCATTTGTTTTTGTGCGTTTTCTTTCAGTGATTATATTCCCCTTGTTGTGTTCTTTGTTTATATTAATTTTCAGAGAAATCTAGTGTGTTATTAAGCACTTCACCACAGAGAGTGGTTAAGATGTTTTTGTAGTTAAAGTTTTAGTTACATCACAAGTAATTCCTAACTGATGCATTACATTGTCAGTCTATGGTACAAATCCAGTGTATCATGAAGTGTTTCAGTACTCAGATATTATATTCAGAGTTCAGCATATCTCAATGCAAGGAGTAGGGGTGAAAGTCAGTTATTTTTGGTAATTCTACACCATACTTTTCAAGACAATACCTGTTTTATATTTAACAACGTGGATACATAGTATATTCGATATTTGAGTTTTAAAGAAAGGTGCCTGATACGTCCATATCCCAGGCTTATTCTGTCCACTATACCACCCAATTGCTGAGTTTTTGCTCTGATAGTTCTATATATAGATGCCTTCTCGTTTAATTCATTAAATGTTTGAAGCTACAGTTTTCAGGTCTTAGTGAATCTCTTAGGTCAGTAAGATTTTCATCAGACATTCGTTTAAGTATTCTTTTTGTCACTGCTAATAAAACACCCATATTAATTTGTACTACTGTGGCTGTTTTTGCAAGCACGTCAACTGTATCATGGTTTGAGATTCAAACATTTGATGGAATCAATGGAATTTAATTTTAAATCTGTTTTCTTTGGCAGCTAAAACATCCATTTGATTATCACTTACTATTTTCTGGGTGTTACTACTATATGCATTCTGTGAGTCACAGTATATAATTCCACTGCCTCTGTCTTATAAAAAAATAAACGGCATGGTATATGGCAGCATGTTCGGTTTGAGTCGTATTAACCCAGTCATTGGCATGCTTCATTGTTAATGTACGAGAGAAGATTGTTTAAATATATTACCTGTGCATGACATGCGCGTGACAAAGTGTTATTAAAAGGGTACTATTTACTCCTGTCAATATTCTTTGCTACTGCCAGTGTCGTGAGCAGTTTGAGAGTTATCACAAATGTTCTTGTTAAATCATTCTGTGTCTTGCAAGTGTTTGAGACTGAAGCCACTAAAGCCTATGTACTTTTTGAGATCTCAACATGCTGGATTGTGCAACTGTGAAGTTTTGCTGGTTAATACTCTCTTACAATATAACGATCTCTCAAGTGTAATAGTGTTAAGTTTTATGAATTAACTTAAATTTTTGTCTTACATTCAGTCTTCAATTAACCACTTTCCCATGTACCCCTCACTCTCTCAAAATAGCAATTTTTCTCTTAAAGGTCTTTTTGGCACAGATATTAAATAACGGTGCTTCATAGCCCAGCATCAAACAAATATTTTGGTGTGAAACCCCGGAGTGTTCAACACCATATAACAACTCTCGTTTGGGTAAGACTATAAATCAAGTGATGTGAGATCACCATTTTCTCGAGGAAAGGGTTATTACTTTGTGTCATGCTCGCAAGCACTGAAACATCGGAGTCTTAGTGTTTGCTCACATTACGATTATCATTTGCATTGAGGGCTTTTATTGACAACACCCCTGACACCCATTTTCAGTATTACTGCAGTTGCAATGCTTAATTCTGTTACAACACAGCCACATTCTACTTCTTATTCATTAATAGGTACACTCTCCCTTTATTTCTCTCATATATATTTCCAATATTTCTCATAATATTTAATCCATTTCCTTTTAATTATCATTCCCTTTAATCTTTGTCAAATAAACCAAGAACATCTAACATTCCTTTTTTTCAATATTTCGCCAATTTAGACTTACTTACTAAATACAAACCCAGTTATCTTAATATTATTATCCTGTTTATCAAGTACTGCATTTTTTCCTAAGATCAAGAATATATTTTTCTCCCTGATTGAAGTGTATAGGAATATATTTTTTTAATGCTCGGGGCACAAAATCTGTTGAAGGTACACCGTTTTTATGCTGGTAATTGTACAATAGAGTGATGTTCTTCCTCCAGCCATTATTTTTAACAAGCTGCGGGACGGAACTTGTTAAAAAATAATGGGTATAGTTTCACTGACACTTTTTGTCTGTATTCTTCCAACCAGAGTGGAAACCTTCAGGTCCTGCATTAATGTGGGTACAACATTGGCCTTCGTGTGGCATTGTATAATTACTTTTACAGCAACTTACCTCTGCTTCAGTGTTGTTATTTTTTAAAGTTGGCTTCGGTGGAGAGTCAGCAGTGAAAATGAGGTTCAGAATTACTCCAACCAGCCGCTGTGTGGATTTTTCTCTAGCGCCCAATGAAAGTCCAGATGCCAAGCATTTCCGGATGTGAGGAAGGTCGAGAGTCAGCCTATTTTCTGGGCTAAAACGCAGCCCTGAAGTCTGCAATGACTCAGGACAATATAAAAATATCGAAAAATATTTGGCCATAATCAATTTTGCATGTTCTTTAAATTGTATCACTGGTAAAAAAATTTAATCTTCTCAGTAACTTATTCAATTTTATCGGATTAGAATAAGTATATGAAAATTCTACCAAGTTAAATACAATGCCAGGTGTACGACAACAAGGACCGACTTACTATAATGTCTCGCGTATAGAAATGATTTACAAGAAGGTCGGAGACTTCGTCCAGGTGTTCCAGGCTCAGCACCATATATTCTACCTCGGTGGAGCTCATCCTGACTCACGAGTCCTCACAGACCTGAATGTAAGATTTCCTGTACCTTATAAAACTATAACTTGGATCTTTTTATACAAATTATACTGAGCAATATCGTTATTCCAAATATATTTACTCAAGCTATGTTAACGGTAAGAGTTGTGATACTATCATATATACCATGTTGGCATAAATTAATATAATAGTCATGATCCATGTCATAAGATATTACTTTTCGGTGAATAGCTTAGGACGTAGGAGTTGGTTAATGTGAATCTTCTTAGAAGTCACATGAGTAATTTCAAAGCAATCATCATGGTATTACAGACACTAAAGGCTTAATCAATGTCATTACTGTAAGCATCTTATACATATCTTATGATGCGGCGCCTTTATCATGGCCCAAAGTTATGTTGTGGTGGTGTAGAGGTTAAGGTGTCTAAGACGTTCTGTTTGGTGTCTGCAGAGTTCTTTGTGAGTAGGTTGGCTGTTTTCTTGTTTTTGTAGCAGATTGTTAATTGTATCAATACAATTACAATACGGATACAATTAACAATCTACTACAAAAACAAGAAAACGGCTAACCTATTCATAAAGAACTCTCCAGACACACAACAGAACGCCTTGAAGGAAACAAACGTCGTCTATGCCTTCATATGCCCACATGGGGATTGTCAGCCCCAAAGGTCACATTATATAGGCAAGACAACAACGTTTCTTTCCAGGCGATTAACAATGAACAAACAACAGGGCTCCATCAAGTAGTACATAATCTCCACACACAACCAGACCATCACCAGAAACATCTTAACAAGCAACACAGATATTATCAACAGATATAACGATATGAGGAGGCTCGGCATCAGTGAGGCCCTACACATCACGAGGTCAAAACCAGCAATCAACAGCCAATTACACATAATTGCATTCTATCCACTTCAAGACCCCGAACCAGCCCAGAAGCAAGAGGATAGATTGTATACATAAGGTTATATGTCCATTGTATATATCCAATTTATATCCATTGTTTCGTGTTTTGTCTTTTGTTCCCAGTCACCTCACTCCAAACATTTGAATGCCATCATCTCACCCAAAAATAAATATAAGCACGTTCTGAGAATGTATAAAATGTCTTTGAAAATGTGAGAAGTGTTCTTACGAAAAGCTTCTAGGCATCAGACCATAAATAAAAAAGTGAAAATGAACTTTGGAGAATTAATTTTGCAGCTACTTCCGACAGTGAAGAAAAACAAAAGAAATATTGTGAAGATTCATGTTAGAATCATTAATCTTACCTTTTCGGTCATATTATATATACATATAAATATATATATATATATATATATATATATATATATATATATATATATATATATATATATATATATATAGTTTATATATATATATATATATATATATATATATATATATATATATATATATATATATATATATATATATATATATATATATATATATATATATATATATACAACTAACACAACACCTATACCCCCTATTAGACTATTTTACAGGAACTTCTTTTCCACAGCCCATAAAACGGAGGAAAGGGTCCTGAAAGATATTGTCAGTAGAAACGTCATCCCTACAGACAAAAATCAGCAGATACAACTGACGATTCACTATAAAACCAGAAAAACGGCCAGCCTACTCATGAGAAACTCTCCAGACACAAAGCAGAACGCTTTAAAAGAGACCAACGTCGTCTATGCCTTCAAATGCCCTCTTGGGGACTATAAGCCTCAAAAAAACCAGTATATAGGCAAGACAACAACATCTCTTTCCAGGCGTTTAACGATGCATAAGCAACAGGGCTCCATTAAGGAACATATAATCTCTTCCCACAAACAAACCATCACCAGAGAAATCTTAGCAAACAACACAGAAATCATCGATAGATTCAGCGATAGCAGGCGGCTTGACGTCTGCGAGGCACTACACATCACAGGTGGAAACTGAGTGCCCAAATGAGCCACAGAGATATTAGAAAGAACTTTTTTAGTGTCAGAGTGGTTGACAAATGGAATGCATTAGGAAGTGATGTGGTGGAGGCTGACTCCATACACAGTTTCAAGTGTAGATATGATAGAGCCCAATAGGCTCAGGAACCTGTACACCTGTTGATTGACAGTCGAGAGGCGGGACCAAAGAGAAGTCAACACCAGCAATCAACAGCCAATTAATGCACAACTATATTCTACCCACTTCAAGACTCCGCTCCAATATAGAAGCATCACGAAATATGGACCAATAGGCTTTCTACAATTACTTCCATTCAATACCCATTGTTTCGTGTTCTGTCTTGTGTTTTAATTTAATACACATTCAATACCCATTGTTTCGTGTTCTGTCTTGTGTTGGAATTTAATACCCATTGAATACCCATTGTTGAAAGTTCGTTTTTCACCTCATCCACCTCACCCAAATGGAGATATAAACCTCGAAGATGTGTAAGCTCTATTCAGTTTCAGTTGTGTGTTTGTAAACTAAAGTCTTTGAAAATGTGATAAGTTTTACGAAACGCGCTCAAGTGTCGCGTCAGACTAGAAATAAAAATGAATTTTGGAGAATTGATTTTTGAATTACCACCAACAGTGAAAAGAAATGTACGAAAGAATGAGAAAATTCGTGTTAGAATTATTAATCTTACTTTTTCGGTCATATTTAATAATATATGTCTACAGGAAAGACTGCTACCAAAATATACTACTATTAAAACGCACGACCCAGCAGCAAGGAATCAAGCCTTCACGATAAGATATCGCCAGGATCTGATTCGTGATCAGATATACAAGGCAGAGAATGAAATCAAAGACAACAAAACGCAACTATTTCATGCTACGAACGAGTGGAGAAATAGCAACATCGACGAAAGTATCCGTACCCGCATTGAACAACACCTCTACATCCTCACAGACCGACATCGCCTCAGCACTGAAACAAGGATTATCAAGAAACTTACAACATTATATGGAGGACCTATGGCAATTCCACGACCAAGAGATGGCTTCCTTACCTTGTAGGAATTAACCTCACTGAGGACCAAGTCACTCTCCTAAATCTGGGCATAAACTGTCACGTTATGTCCAGACCGAGTGAGATGGCCCGGAAAGTAGAGTTGGAAATTCTGTTGGACGACATATTCGACTTCGAGACACAAACGAAGATCACTACCAAAGATACCTTACAAGCAGAACTTATTGCAGAAGGAGGAAAGAATCGAGGCAATTACAGAAGCACCATACTGTCCCCCGAGCTCAAAGCGGCAGCTAAAAGCCTTCGTGAGAACAAGGAGATAGTTGTCAGGAGAGGTGACAAGTCGCCAATATATGTCATTCTTAAAAAAGACGAATATCTGGCGAAAATGAACCTCATACTCTCTGACCAAACTAAGTTCCAAAGGGTAACGAAGGACATTACAGCCGAATTGAAAGCAAAGGTCAACAAACTGATCGAAACTGTGAACGCCAAGAAATCCGGACTCCACCTGCCAAAGATCATTGGGGAATATAAACCTGGATATGCGTATGGAAATGTCAAGACAAACAAGCCTGGAAACCCACTTCGGCCAATCATTAGCCAGATACCCACACCCACGAACAGACTGGCGAAGCGACTCAACGGCCTGCTGACTCCTTATGTTCCTTGCGCCTTCAGCCTGAAGTCTCCAAAGGAATTTGTTGACTTACTGCGGGGCACACGGGCCACAGGGATAAGAGCCTCGTTGGACGTAGAATCGCTGTTTACCAACGTACCTGTGGACGAGACAATCGGGATGATAGCCGACAGAGTGTATCGTGATCCAGCCTGTACTCTTGACATACCCGAAAATATTCTAAGGAAACTACTCCAAGCTTGTACTAAAGTGGCACCCTTCTTGAGCCCGGATGGGCACATGTATAAGCAAGTAGATGGGGTCGCCATGGGTTCTCCCCTAGGTGTCCTGTTTGCAAACTTCTACATGGGTACCATCAAGCAAAAAGTCTTAGTCGACATGAACTTGAAACCGGCCATATACTGCAGGTATGTTGACGACATTTTTACACAGGTACCTGATGTCAGACATCTGCAGGAGCTGAAGGAGGCATTTGAGCAGAGTTCCGTGCTGCGTTTCACTTACGAGATGGAAAAGGATGGGAAGCTGCCCTTTCTAGATGTAACAGTCATGGAAAAGAGCGGAGGTTTCCACACTGCAGTCTACACTAAGGAAACGAACATAGGAATGTGCCTAAATGCCAACAGCGACTGCCCAGACAGGTACAAGAGGAGTATTGTTAACGCATATGTCGACCGTGCTCTCACGGTCAACGCAACTGGTATCTACAGGGACGCCTTAATCCGCTTGACCATCACGACCAGACATAAGGATGATGGTCAAGCGGATTAAGGCGTCCCTGTAGATACCAGTTGCGTTGCTCCTGGGAGTATGGGTTCGAGTCACTTCTGGGGTGTGAGTTTTCAGTCGCATATAGTCCTGGGGACCATTCAGGCTTGTTTGCATTTGTGTTCCTCATGTGTGCCCCAAAGAATGAGGTGATTTGATAAAATGCTATGCCCAAGATTACCATCCGAGTGCCAGCGGCGAAGTGGTTCAAATAGCTTCGGCTATCACTTCCTTATGTCTGGTCGTGATGGTCAAGCGGATTACGGCGTCCCTGTAGATACCAGTTGCGTTGCTCCTGGGAGTATGGGTTCGAGTCACTTCTGGGGTGTGAGTTTTCAGTCGCATATAGTCCTGGGGACCATTCAGGCTTGTTTGCATTTGTGTTCCTCACGTGTGCCCCAAAGAATGAGGTGATTTGATAAAATGCTATGCCCGAGATTACCATCCGAGTGCCGGTGGGGAAGTGATTCAAATAGCTTCAGCTATCACTTCCTTATGTCCGGTCGTGATGGTCAAGCGGATTAAGGCGTCCCTGTAGATACCAGTTGCGTTGCTCCTGGGAGTATGGGTTCGAGTCACTTCTGGGGTGTGAGTTTTCAGTCATATATATATGTATATATATATATATATATATATATATATATATATATATATATATATA